TAATTCAAGATTTTCTGAAGAGAATGTAGTATTTTTATGATCGAAAATGTGCTATCATTCAAGAAAATTATTTGGTACATTTTTAGATCTGCACCATAATATTATTAGCTACTGTTATTACTACTGATCACACATGCATAAGTATTTTATTTTTTACCCCTCACTAATGAAGAGGAATAATTTGCTTACTACTTTGCTAACCATAATGATCATGTGAAGTGCAGATCAAGACAAGTGGGTTTAATTTAAAAAAAAAAAGTAGTTTCAAGAAAACTCCAACACAAATTTATTCAGTGTCCGTAAACTTAATATAGCATTTCCAAGTCAATTTCAACCTTTTCCAAATCAAATTCAACCTTTTCCAAGTCAAATTAAACCTTTTCCATTTCAAATTCAACCTTTTCCAAGTCAAATTCAACCTTTTCCATTTCAAATTCAACTTTCGAATTTTTGTCAATTTTCGAAATGAAGGCCACTTACTATATTATCGAAGGCATAGCTTTTGAAAAATACAAAAAAAATTTTGATAACCCGGTTGCATATCCATTTATTTTAACATTTTAGATTTTTTCAGTGTGATATTTCTATGTCATTTCCAAGTCAAATTCAACCTTTTCCAAGTCAAATTCAACCTTTTCCAGATCAAATTAAACTTTTTCCAAGTCAAATTCAACCATTTCCATTTCAAATTAAACCTTTTCCAATTCAAATTCAACCGTTTTCATTTCAAATTAATGTTTTATTTTTTTAAAAATCTTATATTTTTTTTAAATAATGGCCATCCCCTCCCCCCCTCCAATATGAAAGTCTATTATTATGCTCTCCTAAGTAGAATTTTCACTTACGGATATCGATTTATTGTACCTATTCGGATTTATTAGGGACTAGTATTATGCTGTCCTGTACATAGTTTTGAAAATATCCCCTATTTTAAGATTAAGTGACTGCGTTTCTAATCATTTAAGTTTTTTTGACTTATTCGATATAAGGGTGTATTTTTATGTTTCCCGATCAGTAAATTTTGAAAATGAAATCCATGTTATGTTTACGCCACTGTGTTTTGACTTATTTAAGTTTTTAGAATTTATCCAATATAAAGGTCTACTTTTATGTTTCTGGAGCCGTAGATTTTGAAAACGACCTCCATTTTAAGATTAGGCTACCGCGTTTCGACTTATTTGAGTTTTTCGGATTTTTTTCATATGAGGGTGTATTCTTATGTTTCCGGAGCCGTAGATTTTGAAAACGACCTCCATTTTAAGATTAGGCCACCGCGTTTCGATTTCTTTGAGTTTTTCGGATATTTTTCATATGAGGATGTATTCTTATGTTTCCGGAGCCGTAGATTTTGAAAACGACCTCCATTTTAAGATTAGGCCACCGCGTTTCGATTCCTTTGAGTTTTTCGGATATTTTTCATATGAGGATGTATTCTTATGTTTCCGGAGCCGTAGATTTTGAAAACGACCTCCATTTTAAGATTAGGCCACCGCATTTCGATTTCTTTAAGTGTTTCGAATTTTTATCATAAAAGAGTGTGTTCTTATGTTTCCGGAGTCGCAGATTTTGAAAATGACCTTCATTTTAAGATTACGCCACTGCGTTTCGGCTTATTCAAGTTTTTCGAATTTATCCAATTTAAAAGTCTACTTTTATGATGCCGGAGCCTTAGTTTTTAAAACGACTTACATTTTAAGATTAGGCCACTGTGTTTCGTTTTTTTTAAGTGTTTTTGATTTTTCCTTCGAATAAAAAACAAAATACGAGGGATTAATTTATTTTTCAATAAATAAATAAAAATATCTAATCAAAATAAATAAAATATGTATTGTCTCATTTTTAGTTTAATTTTAGTTATCTTTTTTAATGTTGTGGTCTCCTGTCACAAAATTATAAGATTTCGAACAATTAGCTGAAAAATCTGAATACGGAAGGTTAAATTTATTACCAGCTGCTTTTCGGCTTTTTAGTTTGTATTCTGTGGTTAATTTAACTTTAGCTTCATAATATTTATTTATTTATTTATTCATACTCGAAAACATATTGATGAAACTTTGTATTGAAAAAATCCAAAATGAAGCCTAATTATTCGAGATGCAGCGGCTTAATCATAAAATGGAGCTTAAATATTAGATAAATTTAAATATTAAAGATTAGAAAAATTTCAATACGTCTCGGATAACATATAAGTAGATCCTTATACCGAAAAAGTAAAAAAAAAAATTTATAATCCAAAACACAGTGGCATAAACTTGAAATTGGGTCATTTACAAATTGGGAGAAATCTACTGCTCCAGAACATAAAATTAGACCTTTATACTTGTTAAATTATAAAAACTTAAATAAGTTGAAACGCAGTGGCGTAATCATAAAATAGAGGTCATTTTCAGAATCTACGGTCCCGAAAACATAAAAGTAGACCTTTAAATTGGATAAATTCGAAAAACTTAAATAAGTCAAAATGCAATGGCGGAATCATGAAATGGAGGTTATTTTCAAAATCTACGGCTCAAGAAACATAAAAGTAGACCTTAATATTGGATAAATTCGAAAAACTTAAATAAGTCAAAACGCAGCGGCGTAATCATAAAATGGAGGTCATTTTCGAAATCTACAGCTCCGGAAACATAAAAATACACCCTCATATCAAAAATATCCGAAAAACTCAAGTAAGTCGAAACGCGGTGGCCTAATCTTAAAATGGAGGTCATTTTCAAAATCTACAGTCCCGGAAACATAAAAATACACCCTCATATGAAAAATATCCGAAAAACTCAAATAAGTCGAAACGCGGTGGCCTAATCTTAAAATGGAGGTCATTTTCAAAATCTACAGCCCCGGAAACATAAAAATACACCCTCATATGAAAAATATCCGAAAAACTCAAATAAGTCGAAACGCGGTGGCCTAATCTTAAAATGGAGGTCATTTTCAAAATCTACAGCCCGGAAACATAAAAATACACCCTCATATGAAAAATATCCGAAAAACTCAAATAAGTCGAAACGCGGTGGCCTAATCTTAAAATGGAGGTCGTTTTCAAAATCTACAGCTCCAGAAACATAAAAGTAGACCTTTATATTGGATAAATTCTAAAAACTTTAATAAATCAAAACACAGTGGCGTAAACATAAAATGGATGTCATTTTCAAAATTTACTGATCGGGAAACATAAAAATACACTCTTATATCGAATAATTAAAAAAAACTTAAACTCAGTCACGTAATCTTAAAAAGGAGGTTATTTTCAAAAACTACTCATACGATAACAGACGCACACATCGAAAAATTAAAGATAATTAAATAAATAAAAAAAGGTTGAATTTGAAATGGAAAAGGTTTAATTTGAAATGGAAATGGTTGAATTTGACTTGGAAAAAGTTTAATTTGATTTGGAAAAAGTCGAATTTGACTTGGAAAAGGTTGAAATTGACTTGGAAATGCTATATTTGTTTTCAGGTTTGTTTGGTTATCTTATAAAGGATTTTTTAAAACCATTTCATTCATCTATGCAAAGTCAAAATTAGGATATTTTAAGATCTCAAAGCCACTTCAGCGGCTTTTACTGTTTGGAGCCATACGTGTCTGTGTCATCCACAAAATGCTTCTTCTTACTATTGATACATACTGTAAAATATAAGCGAGAATTTTAGAGAATAAATGCTAGTTTTTAGGAAATATTGGGAGCCGAGGGTTTGTGTAACATGGTAATAGTATTTAATGCATTGGAGGGACAGATACAAAGGATCACTACATATTGAAGGGAGAGGAACACTGGCCCTCTTCTTTAAATACTGGGTGGGGAGGTACAGAAACTAATTCATCCCTCCTTTTCCTGCACATGGGTATTAAATATATAGTTACAAAATACTCAATCAGATCAATATTAAAAGTCATTATCATAAAATTTTATATTGTGTAACAGTGCAATGGTGGGGCTTTAGGATAAAAACCTAGACATTATTATGGTTTCTACATAGAGATCGGGCAGGTAGGGCCAGCATATATATATATATATTGCAATTTTATTTGAAATAAGGTTATAATCCTATTTATAAGAAAGTATCTGTCCTGAGGCTCTCTTAATCAGTGGATTCCCAGGTGGACTGTCCCATCTTCCTCTCCCATAGGTTAGCCAATGTCACTAGCGAATCCTGGAATTAATTTGGGGAGGACTTGAGCCCAAAAGTTTTTTTTTCATAAAAATAACGATAATTACTTTGGAAAAAAAAGAAACTAACTACCTATATGAAATGGTGTTTAAGTGATTCCTAAAGTCCTTTTAAATGTAATTACACGAACAATAATACTTTAAGAGATAATATTTTTCCATAAAACATAGTTATATTTTACTATTTTGGCTGGAGTGCGTCAACGCCACAGCCCCCGCTCCCCCTTAGATCCGCCCCTGGATAATGTAGGTAATATATTGATGAATGAGCAACTTCATTATGGCGAATTATTATGTTATTATATATGGCGTTCATACCACTCTCTTTCCATGCATTAAATTCTGGTATAATTTTACTCTTTTATAATTTATACTATTACATTAGTTCCCCCCCCCCCCCAATGTATCCCTATGGTTTCAATGCTAAGACATCGGAGTCTGTGATGAGGAAGAGTTTTTTTCCTTTTCTCGTCAAAATTAAAGTTAGTTTTTATAAAATGAAATTTGTTTGTCATCATATTATTTTATTTCTGGATTTAAGAACAATTCCTAAAAGCATGACAACTGATGGTTCCAATGATAACTTATTTTAGAAATTGTAAAACAAATACACATTGTAAAATAAAATATATATTTTTAAATTTTAATTTTTAACTTTTCTAAAATAATTTTTTATCAAACGCATTTCTAACTATAATTATTTTTAATAACTTAATTTTTGTATACTGAAAATGTCGAACGAAGTGGCAACATTGTTTCCACTGGAGCCTTCTTCAGTACTGGCTTCTCACGTTTCGGTCGTGTGGATAGTGTTTATTAATTATTAATCATGGGTCGCATGCACGCTCCTGGGTAAATTTATTATATTATTATAATATATATATATATTGAACTGTAAATTATATTATTTACTTAGTTAAAAAACATTAAGTTCATAGAGAACGAAAAATGTGACTATTGCAACGTGGTTGAAAACAGATTCACTGAATTGATTTTTACCCATATATAAACGTTTTATTTGTTGAAAAATAGGTTTTCAATCTTAAGTTCTAATTATTTAGTTGATAATTATGCAATTAAAGTCGGATGTGTATCAATATTGGCCATGTTTTATTGTTAGTTTCTAGATGTTAACCTTCTAATAAATTTTTATTTGTTACTATCTTTTCAGTAAGGGTATATCCCAGTCTGCTTTGCCATATCGTCGATCAGTTCCAACTTGGTTGAAACTATCACCAGAAGATGTGAAAGAACAGATTTTCAAATTAGGAAAAAAGGGACTCACTCCTTCACAAATAGGTATTTATATTTGTTTTAAAATATTAAGTACACTACAGTTCTTTTGCTTTTAGTTAACCATTGTTTTGTAGTGATAGTTTTAATGGTAGAAAATCTGACTAGCAGCGATGTCATATGTAATTTAAATTATGTCAATTATGCTTTAGCTGTATATTTTAATAGTGTAACTTTCTCTAACTGTTGTTTTGGTGTATAAATTTCTAGTTTGCCATGAGAATTAATTGAGCTGCTTATTTAAAAAAAACACTTGTGGATTCATGTCTAAGAACTTTTTTTCATAAATATTCTTTGTTATATATCTCTAAAAACATCCTATCATTTATTAGAAATATTCCTGTTCCTATTAAGTGTTTAACTAAAGTTGAGGATTTTTAATGTATCAATAGATCTCTCAGTGAAATTGTGATTTTAGAAGAGTTGTTTAATACCATTGAAAAGGAACATTTATGTTGATAGGACAAAACTCTTTCTTAAAATCTACAATTGTCAATCTTTTGCTCCTAGTGAATAATCCATTTATTATTAACTCACTTATCCGTTAAACAGTCAACCATAGTTCTGATTGTAGTCAATTATAACCTGATACCATAGCATTGTTTGAGCCTTTCAGTTGTAAGAATAACTAACCCTAATTTCAGCATTAACTATTAATTTCAGTGATATTTCTAGTAGGAAAACGTATACCTTTATTCACAGTTCTATATTTCATCACTTCAGTCGCCTACTCTGAAATCAACTTAAAAGAGACCTAGAAGTAATCTAAAATTTTTTAAGTGGGTCAAAGTAATCCCCTACTAGGTTTATACTGTCTTCAAAGTGACAGTACTTCAATTATTAAGTAGCACTTGAAAATATTTCTTATTATTTATTTATTGAATGGCTAAAAGAAAAACAAGTTTTAAATTGGAGCTTAATAGAATAATATGAATATTTTTGATAATTAATTGTTCTGAAAGAGTTTATTCGACTTGTGTCAGATCTTTTATGAAGTATTATTTCTGGCTTTAGGTGTCATTCTTCGAGATTCCCATGGTGTAGCCCAAGTACGATTTGTCACTGGAAACAAGATTCTCCGAATCATGAAGGCTATGGGACTAGCTCCTGATCTTCCAGAAGACCTCTATTTTCTGATCAAGAAGGCTGTTGCTATCAGAAAGCACCTTGAAAGGAACAGGTAACCATCACATTAATTTCTAAATATTAAAAGAATATTCGCCTACTTTATTTTCTGGTTGATCGAATTAGTTTTTTTAACTAATGTAAATTGCCGGTAACTCCAAGATATTGTACAGATTTAATTAAAAAAACTTGGCGAACGATAATAGTTCTCACAGCATCGTTTCATAATAAAACCATTAGTCAAAATTGAAATTGTTTCTCAAGCATTTCAGGACTACATGAAGTTTGGTAGAAGAACAAAAAAATATATGGTTAACTTTCTTAGAAACCACTTTAGGTCGTAATGTATTCATTAGGCTAAAATTAAAAATCAATCAAAGAAACAAAAACATAAAAATTATGGATATAATAAGGAAAGAAAAAATAATGCAAAACTGCGACAATACTTCACTCTTTGCTTTCTATTTGAGGATTATCTATAAAAATTATTCACCAGATGGATTTTCCTATCACCCTCTATATCCACATCTCTATTAGTTATGATTATTTTTTTTTATAAATATCTGTTCTTTTATTTGTGAAAACTGCATTAAAACATAATTGTAAAAGTATATTTGTAGTCATAAATAACAGTAATTACTTTTGCATAATAGCCTGAAAATAATTTAGCTGTTTATATGTTTGTTATTCACTCAGGTCACTTTATCTTCACTTTAGTATTTTTCATCATAGCCAACTGATTAGTCAAATCTACACTTTCAATAAATTTTGTACTTTCCGCTTCTAAATTAAATTTTATTTTATCTTCTCTTTTTTGTTTTGTTTGGATGGCCAGAGAATCAGGATCCGGATCAGTAGGACTTCACTTTTAAAAATTTATATTTTATTTGTTAATATTATTATAATCTTCCATTCAAAGGCAATAAGTTAGTAATTTACTTATTATTTGCAGAAAGGACAAGGACTCCAAGTTCCGCCTTATCTTGGTAGAATCCAGGATTCACAGACTTGCTCGTTACTACAAAACCAAGGGCGGGCTCCCACCAAACTGGAAGTACGAGTCCAGCACTGCATCTGCTCTTGTTGCTTAATTTTATAATTTCACTAATAAAATGGTTTTATAAAATCTTACTGAGTTTGAATATATTTTGATGTATTTTTTACCTGTCTATTTAATCATGGTGAAGAGCTATTAAGGAAATATATGTCATAAGAGGACCATTGTAATCTTATTTATATCTAATATTATTACATTCTTTTTAAAAAAACTTCATCAATCAATTACATTAAAGTTAAATTATTTTATTTTAAATATTTTTTAAAGAACGTTTTTTTTATGGCATCATAGGCAATATTTGTCTGTAGTCCGTGGTACAGACCCCTTTTTATCGAATTATTAACATCTGCCTGAAACTTGGTAAATAGTTTCATCTCGTTGTAATCTACAACTATTTTATTTACAAAAACTCTTGGAATTGGAGCGTTTTCAATCTGGAGGGATGCAAACTTTGTCTATTTAATTACTTACTAAAAACTTGTAAATACCCATTTGCTTTCTACTTGGATTGTAAGATAATTTAATCACAAAATTGATATAAAAGGTGACCTACAAAAATATTGGACCATTTGTTCTATATAACCTCGTTATTTTGAAAATTTGAGGGTGTAGGTCACGTCAAACTGGTTAATATTTTTGAAGATCGCCTTTTTTTTTTTCGATATTGTGATCAAATTATCTTACAATCCAAATAGAAATAAACTGGGTATTTAAAAGTTTTTAATACGTAATTAAATAGACTAAGTTTGCCGATCTTCAGATTGAAAACTCCCCAATTCCAAGAGTTTTCGTAAATAAAATAGTTGTAGGTTACGATGAGATGAAACTTGAAAGTTTCAGGCCGATGTTCGATAAAAAGGGAAGGGGTCTGTACCACATACTACTGTCATGATTGACAAATATCCATATAATGCAATAGTTAAAAAGATCAGAAGAATAATATTTAACTCTATTTATATGGATTTTTTAAAAGAAATATTTTCATGAATAATAAAGAAATTCAAATTAAATTTTGGAGAGACAAAAGAAATCGCCACCCTTATTTTTATTGTTGATTTGGTTTCTATTAAGCTACATATGAAAACCCAGAATGCTGAAAGTGATTCTGTTACCGTCAATATGACGACCGTATTACCCAACTTATGTTGCATATTATGTAATATCTATTGTAGGACAAGTACTTTACACTGCTTTCAGGTTAGACTGGCGCTTTGTAATAATTTTTTTTTTTTTTTTTATACATTTATTCAGTTATGTTCAATTCAATGTTCATGACTCACTTTCCACATATTTTTCCAGTAATTGTTTGCACCGCCTTCACAAAATGCCATCCTCTCTTTATTTCCTGTAAAAATTTAATTTAATTTAGAATCAAAAGAATTAAAATCAATTATTTTCTGCTTTCGTTATCTAGCCAGCACATCTGCTGATTGTTAATAAATTTAATTAACAAATGTTGAATGAAAAATAAAAGTTTAAAAAAAAATTTCTTTAATATTCAAATAACAAATTTTCGTCATGTGGATGAATATGTTTTACGATATTTTAATATTTATCTCAGATTCAACTTTTTTTGATGACATTAGTTGACCTTCAAGAAATCACTAATTCTTAAAGAATACATCTTGATACTTATCTTATGCCTTATGTCAGGTTTTACGAGATACTATTAATTTTTTTTAAAGGACCTGATTTACATGAAGGCTTAGGTGTAATGATTAATACATAATCGTCTAAGGAACAATTAAAAAAAGAAAAATCTTGCTTCAAGAATAAAATATATTATTATTAGGAGTCCATTTTGCAAAAGTCCATTGTGTGCTTAACCCTTCTATACCTTCAAATATGTGGAGTTTAAACATAACAAAGTAAACTCCACAGTATTAACATACCATAGTAAAGTATAGAACTAAACACGATTTCAATTTTAATAAACCACAAATAATTAATAGGAACAGAATCATAAAATAATAGAGAAGACTGCAATAAAATTGTGCTTACTTACTTAATCCAGAACTCTGTTACTCCTGAGCAGTATGAGGTCCCTTCTTGTAGAGCGTGATCCAAGAATCTCTATCTTGGGCCACTGTCTTCTCCTACTCCAGTCCATTCCCCTCCTGTCAAAGACTTCTTTGATTCCTTCTTCCCATCTTTTTCTTGCTTTTCCCTGTGGCTGCTATTCCTCCACTCTGAGCTTGTAGGTAGCCCTGCAATTCTGTTTTTAGCTATTCGCGAGACATGTCCAAACCACCTGAGTTGGTTCTCTTGGATTATTTCCTTTGCAGCCCTCAGGTCCAGATTTGCTCTTATGGTCATATTCCTCACGCGATCTCTTCTTGTTTTCTCCTCTATTTTCCTTAAATACCTCATTTCCATAGCTTGTATTTTGCTTTTGTGCTTGGAAGTGAGGGTCCATGACTTGCATATGTTAATGTAGAGAGGAAGGTATTCTTGAAGACATTTTTTTTAGTGGCCTTTGAGACTTCCTTCTTGTCCAAGAAGCCTGTCTTGAAGGAGTAGGAGCATTTTCCAGCCGTCTTGATCCTTTCCTTTAAGTCTCCATCAACCCATCCACACTTGTTGAGGTGAGCACACAGGTATTTAAAATTCATAACTTGCTCCAGGCGGATCCGGTCTCCTAGGTCACTTCTTTCAATCCTCATGAATTTTGTTTTGGAGAAGTTAATTTCCATATTTATGTTCCTCAGCTCAGCTTGAAGGATCTTGATGTTAAACTGCAGTCATTTCCGAATACCACCATATCGTCAGCAAAAGTAAGCACTGTATACTGGACACTCTGAAGGTTCCTATATCCGAGGTGGTATTGCCTCATTTTCAGTTTTGCATGTTTTAGGGGAGAGTCCAACATTAGGATAAGCAAGAGGGGACTAAGGCTGCATCCTTGATCTGTTGAGAATTCCTTTGATGTATGATTGTACATCCTGACAACATTTTTCTCCATTTCATTAAGTATTAGGATGGCTTTTCTCAATCCTATATGAACGCCATATTCTTCCAATGTTCTTGAGATGTCTGCTTTCTGCACCTTGTCAAATGCTTTATGTAGTTCTACAAAACAAGCGAAGACCTCTCTGCTCTTTTCAATAACCTTCTGGGATATTTGCCTCATCTTGAATATCAGATCCTGTGTGCACCTGTTATGCCAGAAGCCATATTGTTATCCCCCTAGTTTATGTTCTATAAGGCTTCTCAGCTGCTTTCTGAGTATCTTGGAATAAACTTTGCAGGGGATGCTGAGTAGGGATATTCCTCGATGGTTCTGACATTCACGGTCATCACCTTTTTTGAAAATTGGGATTATGGTAGAGACTTCCCATTCCTTTAGGAAAACTTTCTTTTTCCAAATGACATTAAGGAGGTATTGGAACAATTCGATTCCCTTCAAGCCTGTATTTTTCAACTAATGCCATCTATACCAGTCATTTTTCCAACTTTAATGAGGCAACTTCTTCTTCTCTAATGAAGTCATCTTCTTCTCAGATGTCTTCAGTGCTGCGAGACTGTTGGTTCACTTCCATTTTCTGCCCGTTATATGCCAGTAATTCTTTAAAGTATTTTGCCTATCTATTCATCATAATGAACTCCACCAACTTTCCTCCTTGAGGGGAGTTGCAGGTCCCAAGCTCTGGTAAAGGAGGGGTCCCCACTGCAGCCAGAATGGGTGTACCTTATTGAAACACACTGTCTCTACTCAGTTGCAGCAGTTTTACATCTACGATGTGAAGTAGTGGGGGAGCTGGCTAGATAGCTCTGGAGAAGCAGCCCTTCTATTTGGCTTTGGTTGCAACGGGCTCATAACTCGCTCTCATACTATGAAAAGTTCAGAAAGAAATAGAGCCGATCAGATTTTATGGCAACAGACACCACGTGGAAAATAGATAACACGAATGGCACATGGACTATTAAAGGCTTAAATACGAAAGAAGTAGAATTGGTCGAAGAGAAGAAAAAAGAGCGAGGATAGCCATCCTAGGGATAACACAGACTAAGAAGAAAGGCAAAGAAGAAAAGAGGATAGGAGACCACATATTACTGTATGCTGGAGTTAATCCAGGGGAACATGAAAAGAGCGGAGTGGCATGCCTATTTCACCAAAACTTGGCTCACTGTGTAAAGGACTGGAAGGCTGTTAGTGATAGACTCATGCGAATGGAAGTATGTAGTGGAGGGGTCACATACTCTCTACTCATAGCCTACGGTCCAAATGATAATGCCTCTAGTCAAAGGAAGCATTTTTCGACTCCGTCCAGCATGAGATCGATACATACAAAAGTATACCAATAATTATGGGGTACCTAATTGGAAGAGTAGGGAAGGATGCGATCAGATGGAGTGGCACTTTGAGACCAGATAGTGAGAAGAGATATAACGACAACGGCAAAAGATTTCTTAACTTCTGTCTTGCAAATGATATTTTAGTTGAAAATAGCTTCTTCCCACATAAAATGATCCACAAATATACCAGAGAGGAACCAAGTTGAAATAAAAGGTCTATTATCGACTATTTTCTAATACTACAAGACCAAAGAAAATATGTTGTAGACATAAGAGGTTATGAGATAGGTAGCGACCATTGCCTACTAATAATGGATATAGTCCTCAAAAACTCCACAACCACACTAGGACCATCAAGCCAGACACCTATCTTTAAAATAAAATATTTTAAATTCAGGGAGCCAGAGGTGGTACAGGCATATCAGGACTTGATTGAAGAAAAGATGAATAGAAGATACAATTGGGACAGCGACAGCGTGGAAGAATCTTGGTCGGCAATCAAGAAAATAGTACTGTAGGCAGCAGAGATGACATGTGGAAAAAGCAAGCTGGGACATAGGGCAATGAAAACTGCTTGGGGGAACGAGGAAATCAAACAGAAGAAAATCCAATGGAACAGATACTTGCAAACCAAGTCAGATGTGGCATACTCCACATACAAGGCAGAAAGTGAAAGAGGCCGTGATAAGAGGAAAGAAAAAGTCCTGGGAAGAGTTTGGAAAAAAGTTGGTAAGCAACTACAAGGAAAACTAGAAGCTTTTCTACTGGAGCCTCAGGAGCATAAGGAAGCAGGAAGAACCAGTGTATTGTATCGAAGTTGCCTCAACTTAATTAAAGTAGACTTAAAGCTTATCAAACAAAAAAGTTTTCCTAAAAGTGGGGTAACTGTAGTATAGTTGGATAATAATAAAAAAAAATTGTGAATAATTTGATTTTTTTTAAAACAGAAGATAGCTTAGTTTAATCGTTCAAACATCCTCTTTAAATAGTTTTATTAATGACAAACTTTATTCTCATTTAAATTTTATATAATTTACAAAGAAGCTATTGTTAATTACTTAAATAAATATTTTTTTAGTTATCACTTCTTATTCAACAAAAAAACACGAAACTTTAATTTCCTACTTTTCTGCTGAAAATTGGCCCATTGTTTATATGAACTTTTTTGTAGCCCTCAAGGTCTGCTATCATTCCTATCAAAATTTCTCTCTACTTACGTGACACCTTGTATACTTCATAAATAGGTAAATTAAAGTAAACCGTAACCTGGTTACAAATCCAGCATCTTTCAGAATAAATTTAACCACTTTACAATGAGGCTACAATACTAAAGAAATACTTGGATGTTATTTACTTATATATGAATCATCAGTATGTGCGTTTCACTTGTAAATAGATGAAATTTGTTTATTATACTTGATATCTATTACATTTATTTATTTTACTCACCCAAAAGAAAAGTAATTATAATGTAGGTCTTACACTGGAAATTTATCATTAGAGCATCATGATTAAATAAAAATGCGAAAAATCCACTTCTGTGAAAGACTAATCAAAACTCAAAATTATTAGAGTACCCAATATTTCAAAATAGCATTGTTTTTCAACTTAATTATTATTGCTAATATATATAGATAAACTTATTAAATACGTAGTTATATTTTGTTATTGTTTATATTTTTATTTTTACATGTTGAAAATACCAATTGCTGTTCCTTCCAGAAAGAAATGGAAAACTATCACAAGTTTTGGTTATAAAAAGCTAATTTGAAATTATTTGAATTGAGAAGTTTTTTATCTTTTGTTTGTTTTATGAATTTAAAATCCTTTATTTTTAGCCTAATGCAGCCAGCACTTAGCTAAAACGAACCACTTTGTTTTCTTCCTTTGATATAAAGTTATCCAGTTTTTCTGGCAGTAATACTAAATGGTAAGGGAAAAAACATATTTTCAACATAGCTCTAACTGAAGTTGCTCAGAAGTTGTCAACTAATTGTGGTAGAGCCATAAAATAGCAACAATTATTTTAAGACAAGTCTATGTAAATAAATAATTTTACTATCTCATTTATCAGAATGTTTTGGAAGAATCAAGAAAGGTAGAATGAAAAGAAAAATAAGGTTTGTCAAAGTATTTTATTACGTTCTCTTAAATAATATACATTTTTTAAAAAGAAAGACAATACTTCATGAAGAAAAAACAATATAAATATATTTCAACATTATTTACATATTTTATTTACAAAATATACAATAATAACACTAATTTTTCAATGAGATTAGTTTGAGAGCAAGGTCTTCTGTCTCTTCCAGTGGTAAGTCAATTTCATCTCCTGCTTTAGTACGTATGTTGCTCTTTGGTATTTTCCTTTTCTTAGCAACAGGTTTGTTAGATTTTTTACTGCTAAAACTGTTCTCCGGAGACCTAAAAATAATTTTTGAAATTAAAAATTAATTTAACAGTAAGATTATGAAGAAAAAAGAAAATTGATAAAGTTTTTATATACTACAAAAGTTATTATGTTATGTTTACATTAGATAGAAGAGTGATATTGTTCTATATTATATATTGTTTTTCAAAAATGCTCCGTTTTCCAATGATATATTATAAGTATACGTTCTGACCTGTATTTCCAGAGATTTATTTTCGACCTGTATAAGCATTTATATTTTTTTTCTCCATTATTCAATTATCAGATTCTTTCAAAAGTTATATTTAGCATTTTTTCGCTAAATATTTTACAAAGCTGCTAATTATTTCATAATGGTTTATTATTTCCAATCAATTATACATCTAAAGTAACATTACCTTCCTAGTTACAAAGAAAAATAAATAAAAGGTGATTCCGAATAATGGACTAAACTTTTCTTTATAATCATTAGTAATATGCTAAAAAAATTAGCATTACCTAAGTAACACATTCAAAATTCAGAAATCAAAACAAAGGTATAATAACCTTTGCAGCAGAACGTATTAAAAAACTAGAGACCATATCTTATCTAATAATTGTCCAATTTTAACAATTTTTTTTTATTTTTTTAGGCAATTCCATAAACTTTTAGAAAACCATAACATCGCTAAAAAAGTATATACTTTTTGAGTTATTTGGAATTTAATTTTACTATCCCTCGTAACTTTTTTTCCAGCTTCTTTTCGCTGAAGTATGTTATATAGATAAATTTGAAGGGTGTCGAGAAAATGACTTTAGCGAAGTTTCATTGAAATCAGTACATTCGTTTAGGCGCTACAGTCTATAGCAACGCAGGTTTTTCTGCATTTTTATTTTTTTTCTCTTTTATTAACTTATCAAATTCTTTCAAAAGTTATATTTAGCATTTTTTCGTAACTCTGAATAATGTGAAATGATTAACTTTTTAAAATAAACCATATTAAAGGTACTTTAGAGGAAGACGTATATGAACATTGAGCATTTAAGCCCTGTAAAGTGAAATCAGTGGGGATAAGACCTAATTGATATTAAAGACCACTTAATTATACAATGATACACCAAGTTTAATAAAAATCGTTAGAGCCGTTTTTGAGAAGATTGTGAAAATGTGTTTCAGTTTTGATATAAAGTGGCACTTCTGGTTAGCCAATTTTAAGGAAAAAGTTGCTGTCATATCTGAGGCATATACCTATCTTAAATACGTGATATCAGTTTCATAGGACTTTTCGTTTTTGAGCTAGACTGCTAACATACAAACACACAGACCATTTTTCGAGACTTGGTCAAAAGTTTTCCGTTGAAAACTGAGATTAAAACATTTTCTCGATCGAAATACTTACACTTACCATATATTACCTATAAACGTAAGTGAAAGTAAAAATAGAACTAAAAATTCCTGACGACTGGCTGTTTTTTAAGCAGAATTTCTGATCTTCAAGGCTGCTGGATGCCCTGAGTAACATGTATCCCAATATCAAAGGAAAGGTATTATACTTATAATGTGCTTTCTTTCTTGATCCCATCTCTTCAAAGTTTAGTAGTATTAATTAATGTTTTTTAAATTATCAACAAAAATAAATCTAATCTGTTAACAGAATTACCTAGAAATATTACTTTATAATATCTAATGGTATAATGTCCCTATTACTTACAGATTTTGCACTTTAGATACACCCTCTTCTTCAGAACCTGACTCATCAGGGTTGTCATAGACATCATCTGGATCTGGAAGCCAAGATAGGTCTGGTTCCGACTGAGAGTCCTCATCTGACGAGTCCTTCTCTTGATCCTCGTCTCTTTTCCTTTTACCCTTTTGTCTTAGTTTTCTCTCTCTCTTCTTTTGGCGACCAAGTTCTGAGTACAGTTTGCGATCATGAACATCTTCCTGTTCTAATGTCTTTGGAAATAAAAAAAAAAGGTTGGAATTATTAAAAGATACGATTATTTTTAATAAAATGCTAAACTTAATTTAATTTGAAATGCAACTAGGTTATAAACAAACAAGTAATCATATTATTTTTAATAATAAATTTATATATATTCATAACCTTTTATACTATTTATAATACAGCAGTACAGATCCCTATTCTGGCTCATAGGAGCACTAGTGGATCCAGGATTTAGTTTTGGGGGGGAGGGCTTCAGCCCAAATGATTTTTAAAAAATAAATAAATATATATATATATATATATATATATATATATATATATAACAAATATTACTTTAGAAGAAAAAGAAATCAAGTACCTATATGAGATATAGTTTAAGTGCTTTTTAAAGTACTATTAAATGTAATTACACGAACAATAATACTTTAGAGGTAATTATTAACTTTTTTTCATAAGACATGGTTATATTTTACAGATAAAATAAATATGGTATAAAATATAAATATGCTATAAAATATGGTTATATTTTAGATGATTCTTCTCTTCATTATCCACGACAGTCAACCAATTACCGATTATGGTTATATTTTACCTTTTTTTGGGGGGGAGGAGGGGAAGAAGGAGGGGTTTCAGCCCAAAAGCCTCCTTCCCCTCTTCCACCCCTCCCGCCTGTAGATCTGCCTATGCATAGGAGCAATTCATTAATTAATTTAATATATCAATAACAATAATAATAAAAAGGCTTAGCGAACCCGAAGGTTCGATGCCGACACCACCAATCCCTTATTACACTCCTCCCTCCACCGTTCGCCGTCCAAACCCAGTCCCTTCAGATCGGCTTTAATGCAATCTTCCCACCTTTGCTTCGGTCTACCCCTCGGACGCTTACCATTCGGCACAGCAAATATTAACCTTTTAGGAATTCTCTCGTTACTAAGTCCAACAACTTTACAAGCCCATTTGATTCGCCGCGATGAAATTATCTCAATTATATTACTCGGATACAGTTAATTTTTTTTTTACCTTAGGGAGATCCATGACTATTTGTGGTGTTTGGTGAACTAAAGATATGTGAGCAGGGCGTTCAATCCTACGTCACACCCTCCAGCAAGTCTGGTGGGCCCCTACCTCCAACAAGTCTGGTGGGCCCCTCCCTCCAGCAAGTCTAGAGGGCCCCTCTCATTGTTGGTCAGCGAGTCCATCGGACTTAGCCGGGAGGAACTTCCAAGGAATTTCCACCGACCATCCCCACATCCGCCACCCGTGGGACGCTCCCCATACGCGGTAATGAGCCCGCGCGAGGTTAATATATCAAACAAAATGGAATTTCATAGAGAAGTGACAAATCCCAATTTTGATTTTTAAAACAACATAAATAAAAGTTATTGAAAAAATTAGGAAATTTCAAAAGTCGACGAAACGAGACGGGATAAGTTGGGTTTTAAAAATTTCAAGGATATTAGCTCTGTGATCTCTTGGACATTAGAGATCATAGAGCTAGCGGCCAGATATGGCCTGGCCTCTATACTATACTCTTAGTAAGTGAGAAAACTTCAAACCAAAACTCTTGGGGACCAAACAAATAGGTCTTCAACGAGTACAATAATAGATTAATATAGGTTCACGGATAGCTGTGCCTTATTGCTTTAACTGTTAAACTGAAAGCACATTTTCCAATGAGGCAAGCTAATCACTTAACAAGAAAATTGTTATTATAACAGCCACAGAAAAGTATGGAGCTTCACAAATTGTGTGTTGAAAAGGCTGTCTAGATAATATTATATTGTATATACAAATAAAAATGTTTTGCTCAAGTCGCTTATACATCGAGTGCATTAGAGAAAACTATAGCTATATAATGTGAGAGTTCTCGCTAGGACAGGCACAGTGGGACAAATGACCAAGGTGAAAAACCTCCAACACTAGATATTTTATTTTTATTCCAGCTGTGGTTTTAACTGCTGTACAAGCACATGATATTCTACTAATGTATGTTGGTAGTATATTAGTAATGTAAAAGAAAAAAAGCAAGAAAACACATAGCAACAATAAATGAATGAATACATGTGTTTTGTTACTTTTTTCTCTTACATTGGAACATGTACTTATATTGTAATAGATGGAAAATAAAATGGAGGATAAGAAAAAATAAGATAAAAAAAATAAATATATATATATATACTTATAAGTAGGATCTCAATTCGGTAATTTATTTTGTGCATTTCAAAAACAAAAAAAATTAATTTTTTTTATTTCGTAATTTAAAAAAATAAAAGATCAAAAAATGTATCAATATTAAAAATATATATATATTTTTTTTTATGGCATTAAAGACCATGTAGATTTTTGCCACCTTAACTAGCATGCTCTATATCTCTGCCTGTCTTGGGCTATTTCTTTCCATTTATCTGCATGCAGCTCTATTGCATCTTTGTTGATTCCATCTGCTTTTTGACCTTTCATGTGGTCTTTTGTCTTCTATTGAGGCATCCATTGTTAAGTAGAGACTTCCAGATGGATTTCTACGAGCTATATGCCCCACCAATCTTAACGGATTTAACAGACTTTGATTTAACAGAACCCACTTGTTCTATCACTTTCCTTTTCACTTATCTGATCAATGCAGTATAAAAATAAAATTAATGTGGTAGCATCGCCATACGTGCAGTTTGAGAAAATTTTTAATTAAATTTTTTTAAATTGGATAATATTTCATGTTTCTATAAGGAAGGCCTTGAAACAACTCATAAGCATGTAGGATATATTCCTAACAATATCACCACCCTCCCAATAATCCTATAGTTTCTTCTCTCTCCCCTCCCCCAATAATTTTCATAAGCCACTTCAGTCATTTCATAAGATCATGGCACCTATGCATATATTTAGTAATTTATCAGTTTACAAATATGATTCACCCTCTTACATGGTTTAACCATTGCGTTTTCTTAAACTTATAATTTAAATATCAGCTTTTTCCTTTACTGGATTATCATAAATTCACAAAAGCTTCTTAACATTGCTTTGAAAATTCGATAGTTAGACCAATCAGGATTTATGTTACTTTATCATTAAAAAAAATTCTAAGTGTATTTTAAAAATGATTAAACTTCAATAATAAAGACCTAAAAGTAAAAGCTAATGTAATTGAAGCACATTGACAAACATTCCTAAAAGTTTTTAATGGAAGACACATTTATATAAATAAATATAAAATTAATAATTTAATTAATTAAAATAAAATGTTTTGATATTAAAAAAAAAATACTAATTGACTGACACATTATATACTGTACTCCGAGAAACAGGCGAATTTTCAAATTTTTAATTCCTACATGCAACAGAATCTTTGCAGTACAACAAATAATAAATATTCAGAATGCTATGATTCTGCATCTAATCGTCCGATTTCGATGTTTTTTTTTTTTTAAGTTTTATACAGAATTTAGTAAACTTTAAAATACTCATGTATAATAGACATCAGAACGTGTACTTTTCGAGTTATTCGCTAATTATGAATTTATTCCTAACTTTTTGATTCGATAGCACAATTACATGGTTTGAAACCTCCCATTTTTACATTCACTTTTATTTAAGTCTTCGTATACAATAAGAAATCAAAATTACAATTCGTGCATTCTGTGAGATATTCTCTTTCAATCGATACCTCATTTGTCAAAATACATCACTCCCGAGAGCCGGAAAAGATATATATATTCAAAAATAATATATAAGAAGATAAAATAACAATAAATTGACCAAAATGACAATGAAACACAATAAAATATACTTTTTTTGAGGATTTTAAGGAAAAGAATAAATTTTAATATGATATGATGATCAGATAAATCACCTATAGGGTAACAACCAATTAAAAGAACCATTAGAGTAGGGATTACACAAATGTACCCCACAAAAAAAGTACAAGGTAAAAATACCTTCTTCGCTTCTTCCAAATTAATGGCTGGTCCTAGGGAGGCTTCGAAATCTTGTCCTGCTTCGGTTACCTTCTGTTTCGTTTGGCTGACTATTTCCTATCAAACAATAAAAATTAGGCATGAGATTTATTTATAACAACTAAGAATAAATAAAACTTAAATTTAATTATCATGGGTGAAAAATATTCAGGACGCAGTCTTTTTAAAATGTTTGCCAACATTTCAACCCAAACATGTGGGTCATCTTTTAAAAAACATTTTCAGCCCTGAAGATGACCCACATGTTCGGGATGAAACGTTGGCAAAAATAAAAAAATTTAAAAAAGACTGCGTCCTGAATATTTATCACCCATGATATGTAGAACAGTTGACTAACTTCTCTCAATAAATTTAATTATATTAATAATCAAATATTTCATTTCTGAAATAAATAAAATATACAAATTGTATCCCCATAAGCAGTAATGTTCACTAAAACCATATAATATAATTGAAAAAAGAAATATATCCTTACGCCTTTCTTCCTTATATCTCCTAATGAAAAAAAAAAAATAAATAAAAGGGAAATTTAAAAAAATCTCTACCTTTCCGTCATCGGTGAAAACAATTTTTTTATTTGGTAGCAGGTTTTTTTTAAGAATTTTTTTAGCCAACTTCGCCTTTGTTAGGACGGGTTTTGACTTTGACTTAGTTTCTTCAGAAATTTCATCATCTTCAAGTTCCAGAACATCTCCCATTACTTTTTCAAGTTCATGATCTTTACGCTTGATGGCAAACATTTCAGATTCACTGTCGTCACTATCACCATCTAAGAAAAATTTAAATTAATATAAATAATTAGAAGATATTAAAGATAGAAAATAAAATAAACATTGCTTCAATATAAAAAAATTAAATCAGGTATACTTGATTTTAAAGAGTGGGTAGTTCAAATAAATCTACTTTATTTTTTAACAAGAAAATTTTTTTCAACTGAATCTCTGGCTCCGTAAACACCACCAATTCATCATAAAAACACTGCTGACGTATGTCTCACGTGAATAGAGCATTAGGAAAATGAGATCACTCCGTGTCAGGAAATGTAACTCTTTCCCATCCACACATTCAATTGACCAAATGCACAATTGAACTATAAATAATATGTTTGTTTTTTTCTTCAAAAGTTAATAAATTATAATTTGAAAAAATTAACTTACCAATATAAAATTTGAGCAAAAAATAAAATCAATTATCTGGAATTCAATCAATCATACTGTCTGCTATACAGACTAATCTTGATTATATTTTTGTATTCTTGTCATTTTTATAAATTATATTTGAAAATTCATTTAAATTTGATGGGAATTAAAATATATTCACATGAAGGAGGTGGTGGAGACAACCCATGCCTCAGCATCATTATCGAGGTGGCCTTCGATTAGTACACTCACTCTATAGCTGACCTTCGGCCAATACAGTGCACCAGTTCAGGTAGTGGCAAGTAAAAAAAAAAAAACCTGTACCACTACAATCATGAAGGGTCGGTCTTGGGTACTGTGTACTATAAGAGGAAGTACTATTTCAAGGACAACCGTAATGCAGAGAGATCATAGTGCTGGATCATACTTAACTGCCAGGTTTTCCTCCTTAATTAAGAGTACCCACTTTATAGAGGGTAGGTGTGCCCCAGGAAGGTTCCTGACCCCAGGTCAATCCACAGCTAATGAAATATTACCTGCTGTCAACCGGATTTGAACCCAGGACCTTGAGCATTGGTAGTCAGTGCTTAACCACTGAGCAATCCTGTTCCCTAGTGGTCAGTAAACCTACCCTTCAAGTTATTAGGATTTGGATTGTTAGTTCCAATTTAAGAACCATGTGAATTCACCTTCAATCTGCCAAAATGTTGCTATGCGAGCGCTATAGTACAAGAAATAAATTGTTTCCTGTAGTTCATATGAGAACACATTAATGCGACTATCACTCATGATTTAAAATACATTTAATTTCAAAGATTAAACATTAAAAAAAAAAGTTAATTTTTTTATAAGGGATATGGAAGAATTTACTGAGCTTTGTGTCATGAAAATATAATATTTGCGAGTGCTTACAACAAAATAGAAAATAAAAAAAAAATACCATTAAAGATAAAATCCCTATCTTCTTTTTGAACATTTCCAATTTCAATAGTCTGAAGAACATCTTCCTCCTCTTGGTCATTATCATCAGAATTTTGTTTCTGCGATCCCTTCTTCTCCATTCGTTGTATAAATCGCACCCTCGGAGCAGCTATTAAACCCAATGATCTAAAAATACACTATTTATTAAGAATGGTATAACTGAAGTAAAATACAAATTTAATGCTAAAAATCACTATAATTTCAACTATCAGTAGATAACAGAGTTATTTAAGTTAAAACAAGAAAGAATGTACATATAGTGTTGATTATCTGAATCAATGTTGTGCAGAGTGGTTTGGATAAATGATCATCAAATTTTAAGAAAGCTTAGAATAAGTATTTTTAACAACAAAAAATAGTGATCTAGTTACCTTGCAAAATTGTAAGAGTCAACTGATTTGACATCAAAGATTGTTTTGTCCCTCATCAGGAATATTGACTTGAAGTACGACACAAAAGCTCGTTGTGCGGATGCCTTCAACTCATTGCTCTTAGCTACAAACAGCTCAAGCTTTGCTTGTGGTGATATTATCTGTAGTGGATTCACTCTACGATCAAAACGAGAAAAAAAATAAAAATAAAAATTATTTTGATTTAAAAATTACATAAGAAAAAAAAATTAAAGCATAATACAAGGATCTTAAGACTGAATAGTGAAATTCAAATCACTATTCCTCAATTTATTAGATTAAATTTAAAACAAAATTGGACCTCCTAAAATGTTTTATTTAGTTGAATTATGATAAAATGTACTATCTTGAATTCAGAATAAATTTGAATAATTAAAAAAGGATATTTTGCTGTTTGATAATAAAAATTAGTTAGAATTAATAAAAATAATTAGAGCATGTGGATAGCAGTTCGCCCATATCGAACAGTCTAATATGAACTTTGCTGGAATCACTCTGGCAATAGTTTTACGGCTGCCTGCTACAGATCAATAAGTTTTCAATAAAATGACAATACATATTTTAATAGATATTTAATAATTTATTGCAATTATGAGGGGTTACTTTGAAAATAATAATTTAAATATATCATAGCATTTTCTTTTTTTAATCGCTATTATTATTATTTTAAATGTGATATAAACATAAAATTTATGAAGATATAAGTGAACTATTTGAAAATAATAATTCATTCAGCGATACAATAACATCACTATTGTTTTGTTTAATGTCTTTATCTGGCAATAAAAAAAAAAATCAATGATACTATTGGTAACACTACTAGTTCTGGAAATAATAAAGTTGTTTTTTATTAAAACTATTTATTTTTTTTTATTGATATTCTTTAATTTTTTATTTAATTACTATAAACAGTGACGTGCTTGCAATTCACATTCACAAAATAAAAAAATCGATGCCCGTCACCTAATAGATAATCTATAAATGAATGTGCCCACAGATGAAAAAAGGTTTGGGACCCCTGACTTAAAACCATCCATAAACTAATTCATTAATTATGAATAATTATCAATATTATACATCCATCTTGTTCCCTTTAAGAAGTAAGTACCAACTTAAGAGGCGGGGTGGCCGAATAGGCTAAAGCGTGTGCACATCACCGCGAGTTGCCTGGCAACCAGATATATGAAGATTTGAGAGACAAGAAAAGTACGAGTTCGTGTCCCGGTGCCAGAGGGGATTTTAAATTCCCCACCCCCACCCTCCGGCCTGGGAAAATCCCATATAGCCTAAACGGCGAGGTAGGGAAGAACAAAAAAAAAAAAAAAAAAAGTAAGTACCAACTTTGGATAGTGAGAATTGGTTATTAAATAATATTTTTTTTCAAAGGAAGGTGATGTTCGGGGGTGGTCATAAATACGCTAAATAATGGCAAAACTATTTTATTAAAAGCCAACGTTTCGACCCGACTTTGCAGGTCTTCTTCCGGGCTGGAACGGACAAGATACAAAGTTCTAGCCCTGAAGAAGACCTGCAAAGTCGGGTCGAAATGTTGGCTTTTAATAAAATAGTTTTGCCACTATTTAGCCTATTTATGACCGCCACCCCAGACCATTTCCTTCCTTCATAATGCAACACTCAACTATTCAATTTCAATAATTTTTTTCAGATTTGAATGTGTTGTATTATAGATATGGTTGTTCAGATATCTATATTAGACATAGTCTTAAATAACAAATATGTCATCTAGATGGCAAAATCAGAATACAGATAAAATGATCCATACAACATTAAGAGCAGAATTGATCAAGGAAGCATTGAGGTAATAAAAGGTAGAAAGTAGGAAAAATAATAAGACTAGAAGTTCATGAATGCTATTTATGAAATCAGTCATAATTTTGTTATTAGAAATACTTTCTTCAACAGGGTATGTTATAGATAATTGATAAGAAAAACTATAATTTTTTATTCATGTTTTTCAATGATGTAGGAAGGTCTAAAAACAGTGTTGACAAAAAACTTCTTTGTGATAACAAAGAAAATTTTTAATTGTAATCCCTTATCCCCGTTCCAGGTCTTCAGATTTGTATACAAGAACCCACTGAACCGCTGCTTTCGACAGATCTCTTATTATTCAATCCAATACCCTCCCCACCTTTAAATCCTGCCTGTTCAATCAACTCTTATTCATTTGGTTCTCATAAAATTGTAAATATGTATATAAATAATTAGTTTGTTATAAATACTTTTATTTCATTTTTTTCCTCTTAATTGAAGTTTGAAGATAAATAATATTCATTTCTTTTATTTATTCATTATAAAAATCTGTTTATTTTGTAATCATTCTCTGAGGTTCCAAAGCCCACATTTCTATCTCTGTGCATTATTCTAAAGGGACTTGTCCCAGAATAATTAAAGCATTATTATTATCATCTCCCTTTCATTCAATACCTTAGCAGAACAAAACAATGTTGGTATAGATTCTGATTAACTGATTTAATTTTCATAAGACAAATAAAAACATACTTGATCTCAGAAATTGGAATCTTGCTGGCTTCTAATTTTTCAATGATGGCACTTTCTTTCTGATTAACAAGGAGAAGACTTTCTCCTGTGCGTGTATACCTTGCAGTACGGCCAACACGATGGACATAAGCATCGACATCTTCAGGGCAGTCTCCTTGCACCACCCAGTCAACACTAGGAAAGTCTAAAAGTTTACAAAATTCATTATGAGAACATTTCTTTATGATTCTAAATTAATTATATATAATGAAAAATGTCTTTATTATTCTAGGATAGTGGTCTCCAAACAGGCCCATGGCTCCAATTCAGCCATGAAAATTTCTTTGATTACATGATAAAATTTTAAAAAGTATTAAGAAATATGAACTTTAGTAAATCATACAATCATGAGGTTAGTACAGTATTTATCGCATGAGCTGTTTCTCTTAGAAAGTTCATTTTGCAACTTAAGAGTCATTTATAGAACAAGCTTTTTAAGCCATGGCCCACAGGATTTAGTGGAGGTCTCCATGCATCCTGTGGGACATCGAACTTTCAATGTGGCCCTTAGACAAAACAGTTAGGAGACCCCTGTTCTAGAACAAAGCCCTTTTAGAATAAAATTAAAGGAATAATAGATAGTGGCGAAAACAGTGTGGCATTACTATTTTATAATAAATATAGATTCTTATTCATCAATAAGAAATAAAATAAGTAAAAATATAGCATAAAGGAAAAGAAAATTTAAATAGTAACTAAAGCAACAAAAATGCATTGAAAAATAATAATAATAACTATGTGGAACATAGCATAAGAAAGTAATCTGGGGAACATTTGAAATATAAAAGAAAGCGATTTCATAAAAAATAATATTAATCAAATTAGGCGAGGAAAAGGTGGTTAAAAAAGAGAGTTTGAATGAGGAGACTTTTGAAGCATGACGTATGATGGGCCGGATAAAGTTCTAGATGGAAGCAGCTCGAGTTAGGAACGATCTTTCTAACATTGCAGTTCTGTGGGGAGGAAGTTAGAAGTCAGCAGGACAAGATCAGGTGGACAGAAATTTCAAATTGTAGGCTTTGTAGGATGGGATATAGGAACATTTATTTCTGGCAACTTGTACAGGAAGGACACAAGGAAATACTGACGCATGTAAGGGTGGAGCCAGCTCGACATAATACTAGGTTATACACGCCTTCCTGGTTATCCCGAAAACAAATCTAACTAAGCAGTTCATCAACCATTTAAGTCTTGCTTCAAGTGGGAGTAGACTGGCTAAGGTGTGAGCAAGACATGCGTTGATAGGCAATCTCATAAACTAAAGATTATCAGTTATGAAAAGGTGAGGTATGAGAGAAAAAAAAAAGTCTAGCACTAAGTTCACCAGAGAGTCTGTTCTGGATGAACTGTACAAAAAGTGGGAGAATATAAGGGGTTAAACTAGGAGTTGATGGGTTTAAGTAGGAGAAAACATTGAGGACTGAATTGTTTGAGAGTTGATATGGTTTGGCGAGACATTTGCTGCTTCCATGAAAGGGTTTGGTCAAATATGATTCAAAGGTTTTTGAGTGAAGTACGGAATGAGATAGGAGTGACCTGATATGGCTGCAGTGCATTAGGCCACTTTTAATTTAAAAAAAAAAAAGAAGAAAAACGTAGGGCCACCTTGTGAAGGATTTAAGAATGGAAGAAAATCCTGTCATGACAGTGACAAGATCAAATCTCAGTATTTAGAATAGGGAGAAACCCAAGCACTTATTATGTAGATGTCTTCTTGCAGTTACACGATGTCATTAGAGGATTCAGCAGGGTCAAAAGATAGATTTGGTGGCATATAGGTGAGACACTGGGAACACTCGATGGTGAATGAGAGGTCATTGATAAAGATGGTGAAAAGGAACAGGAAGAACCCTGAGATTAATCACATAACATTCTATTATTAAAAGAATATTTGTTTAAAAAAATACTTAATTTATAACATAATGAACTCATAAATTATTTTAAAAGCACTGCCTCTAAGACCTACCTAGCCCCCTGGCAGCAATATCAGTAGCAAGTAGGACAGCATACTCTTTCCTGCAAAACGTATGATAGATTTCCATCCTCTTTAGCTGGTGCATTTTCCCTTGAAGGGCCATGACTGGATTCCTAGGTCTAAGTTTCTTGAAAACTTCATGAAAATATTTAACCTAAACAATAATAGGAGCAATTATATGTAAAAAAAATAATGCATACAGAAAATTTGCAAAGATTATCATAACTAATCTAAATCATATAAAATAAGTACCAAAACAATTTAGTTTTTAAATTACTAGTTAAATATAAAAATTAAAAAAAAAAAATAAAAACAAAATATGCAAATCCAGCACTTTTACAAATTAGCCTAATCTGAAATACTAACTAAACTAAGAATTTTTTTTTTCTATAAGAAATGAAACATTAAACCGTAGATAAAATTAGTGATAAAAATCATAACACCTCCAGAACCAAGGGTACCAGAATTCAGATATATATTAATGAATGTCTGCAGCTTCTTGGTCACCGGCTTGGTCTCCCATGCATGTAGAAGAACCTACATAATGTTAGTATTGAAAATGCAAAGGTTATACGTTCTTCCACCTTCCAGAGGTGGAAGGTAATCTTTGTAATTACCACTCTGGCCAGAGCTGCGAGTGGTGCTTGTTGTCCTTTCCTAATACGGCTTTTAACATCTTCATAAGTCCTCCTCTGCACCACAAGATAAGTACAACTAAACTAACCCTTTCAAAAATGTTTTCTATAAGATTTTCCTGTTCATTTGCATACCTTTCTTCATTTTAGCAAAATTTATTTTGAAACCAGAGCTTCCTCTTGAAGTTCATTTAGCTTTTTGTGTATATCCCTGAAACTTTGGGTGAAATCTACAAAGTCCAGAATCTTCAAGTCTTTCCTTAAGAGCTCTCCTTAAAATGATGTCAAAGACCATCAGGAATAACATGGGAGAGAAATACATCCCTGTCTAACATTAAAGGACTCCAACACTTTGCGACAATCAATAACTTCAGAGAATGAACTCTCATATAGGTCCTTAACATGTGATAATAATAAGTGGAATAACTAACTGAAATAGATGATTAAAATAAAAGTATGAAGAGGATTAAATAAGAAATTTATTAAAATAATGGATAAAGTAATATGCTCACCAAAATAGTTTCATAAATCAGACAGATAATGAAAAAGGGATGTATTGTAATCCCGCACGCGCGCGTCAACATCTCTGTAAAGATTTATGTTTGTCTTCAATATTAGAAATGATGGTTGGGGCAGTATTTGTTGGATAAATCGTGGGGTTTCTGCAAGAATCATCATCAAGACGTGTTACTTTATTGCAGGTTCTTGAATGCATCATAATTATTTTTTTGGGATTATAAGGCGAGAATTTTTTTGAAAGTATAAATTCTTGTTATGTATTGATCCTCTCCTTTTATGCTGGAGTTTATAAAGGCTACTCACTCATTATTTATAAGTATTTAATAATTTTTTTGCTTATCGCGAGTATGTTATTAGTTTTTTTAGAAATTAAACGTTCGCACACTGATTTTTATATAATTTTTTTGTATGTAATTTAGTGTATCCACTCCACGCGCCGCACTACACGCGCTAGTCAATCAATCATTATTATACAATCACTCTACAAAGATATTGGCCACACATCAACTGGAGGTCAATATTTGGTTTAAGCATTCAACGATGTCGGTAGTGGTGTTGTTCAGAGAAGGAAAGTTAGGAATGTAGTGGGAATGAATTTAGATTGTTTGATAAAATGATTGAATATTATAAAATGTGGAGTTATTTGGAGTCTCGCGACCTCTCATCTCTTTTTTAATGTATGTTGAAATAAGAGAAATGTCAGGATTTGTAGATTTTCAAAGTTCTCTCTCTGACAATTCGCTTGTACATAAAGTTTAACTTTAAACCTTCTAGATCTCTCCCGTTTTGGGATGATTAGTTTCTTTGTTGATAAGAGTGGTAGTCCTCCTCTAGAGTTTAAAAGTTCAAAAAATGTGATACGTATGGGATGAATTATTTGTTTTTTTTAGTAATAATCGGAGAAGTGCAGAAAACATGATGGCTGTTGTGCAAAACACTCTTTTTACTAATGCTATTTTCGCATTTCAAAACATGCAACGAAGGTTACGCTATTATAAAATGTTATCTGTATATATAATACGGTAGTATTTCACAGAATAGATCCCCTTTCCGCATCTCAAGCGTAATGCATCTTGAATAATGAATTACCAAATGAAAGAAAATTTCATGGAGAAGTGACAAATCATAGTCACATCCTCCTGAAATTTTAGGGATAAAAGTTATGAAGAAAAAGGAACTTTTTTTGCAAATAACTAAAAAAGTATGCTCTTTTTTCTTATTACACCCATAATTATTTAATAAATTACTAAATTCCCTAAAAAATCGAGATCAGACCATTATTAGCAAAGATAGAGCCTAAATTAATATGCTTATGTTTTGTTTTGTTATTATGAATGAACCAATATACTTGACTGAGAAAAAGAAAATTATTTCCTCTATCTCATAATACATTGCAGTAATTTATTTCTATATTATATTGTCAATTGTTCACTGACCAACATACTATGCGAATTATTCGTATGGTCCAACTAGTTATTTTAATTTTTCTTAATGACTTTAATGCCACCAGAAGACTATTCTTAGTAAAAAAAATATATTAAAATGCAGATTTTACTGATTTATTTATTTTTTAAAATTAGATTGTTGAAAATGGTCAATTATCTTAGAATTACTCTATTAAAGCAATAAATACATAAATACACTTTAAAGAGATAAATACAGTAATACGAATCAAGGCAATAAATACATACTGAATTACCTTCAATTAAAGCAATAAATACGTAGAATATTATAAAGAAAAAGCTTTTAAGTCAAAATCCACAAGATATACCTAGGAATAGATACTAATAACTATCAATAGACTGATACCAGACCAATGTTCAGTACAATAAGTTTTAAATTATAAGTAAACTAACCTGATTGCATGTCGAAAAAAAAATCATTATCTTCTGCCTTGAATGAGCTTTGATGAACGACCATATAATAGGCATTTTTTCATGAGTTTCGCAAACAATGAAGCTTTGTGTGAGACCATCTGGAGTTTTGTACTTCTCATGCTCGTGGACAGCTACGTACTCTGGATCAGTCAGGCTAAGCCTTGCCAAGTCACTTACTTTCCTGAAAATAAACATGTTTAATATTTACTAAGTAGGAATCATAGATAACATAAGAGAAACACAGAGATAATACAGTATATGAATTTACTTAATTTATTTAAATATATTTTTTTTTCAAAAAATTATATTAGTTTCATCTTTGTGAAAACAATTCTTTGGTTTTTAATTCCTTCATAGAAAATTTGTTTAAATTGTCTTTGTCAAGGTTTAGAATTCCTTACCCATCTTCAAGACAAAACTTCTCCATTATAGAATAACAATAATTATTAGCAATCAAAATTATTATTTAAAAAACGGTAAAACACTAAAACATTATTGATGGAAGCTAGTCGACTGTTCTACATATCATGGGTAATAAATATTCAGGATGCAGTCATTATAAGATTTTTATTAGTGCCGACATTTCAACCTAAACATGTGGGCCATCATCCGGGCGTGGTTCGAGCACTGATGATGGCCCACATGTTTGGGTTGAAACATTAGCACTAATAAAAACCTTATAATGACTGCATCCTGAATATTTATCACCCGTAAAACATTAAAGATTAACAATCCATTGTACATTAGTTCATCTTATATTCATTTCTTCTAATACTATTTCCTGATGACAATTTTCTTCACCCTCATTGTCAAGTTAATGTCCAAAACTTTTATTATTTTGACTCGTTATTTACACTAATTATAAAACTATTTTGTCTAAAACATCTTATATTGACAGAGTCTCATCCATATATATTGTATGATAAAAGGCTAACTGGAATTTAAATTAACAGTATTGGTGATTTTATATAGGTTTTAGTAAGAAGGAGATTTCAATTGTAGTAAAGTAATGAAGTATTTTGGAGTTATCTTTGGTTAATTGTATAGTATTTAAATTTTATTTAAAATAAAGTCAATTATTTTAAGTAAATATGATTGATTTGGATAGTTTTGATCTGAAAATAAAATCAAGAATGTTCAATAGAAAGTAATATAAATCAAGTGTGTCATGAAACAAGTACCATGCAGACGTATAAAAATGAAGTTTTTTATAGTTATTAAAAATAAATCAAAATAAGAATTTGATTTCTTACTGTCAAACAATTAACATTTAAACAAAAGAACATATAGCAACGGTGAATATTTTAAACAAATGTTTATAACATGAAAGAAAAAATAAATATAAAAAGTTAATTTTATTTATGTGGATTTAAAACAGGAAGACTTTTTGAGTTAGTCATACCGAGCATCCGATTTTTGGAGTCATAAGAAAAGTTAACTTCCAGGAATAAGGTCAGTAGTAATGTAGATGAGGAGTAGAAGAATCTAAAATAACAAGGCTATACATCTTCAAGCATGAACCATATGGAATCCCAAAGAAAGAAGTCACGTGAAAACAGTAAATAATAATTTCAAGACTACAAGGGGGGTACTCTCTGGCTAACCCCCATTTTACAAATTATACAACTGTTCATTTAATTGTAGTACTTCTTGCTCACATTGTATAACTGTAATTTACATGTACTCTGAAGTTCAGATTGTATTTTTTTTTTAGTATGGTATAAGCAAGAAAAAAAAAAAAAAAAAAAAGAAATCAAGTCTTTATCCCAGCATTTTAATTTGTTGAGATTGAAAAATAAAATATTACATGGCCACTAAAGACTTTTTGAAGTGAAAATTTCTTTAGCTCTGCACTTTTTTTGTGGGTAGTGAATGAGACTGAGCCACCACGCACGGCTATGTAACACTCATTTGGGTAAAGTACGCTCGATTTGACTAATTGTTGCATTTGGATTAAAATATCTCAGAAACTAAAAATCGGATCTGCATATTATAAGCTAGGGAAATGTTCAGAATTTCAAAGTTGTATCTTGATGCGAGGATGTTATGTTAGAGAGGCAAAAAACCAAATTATAACGAATGTTATACTAAATATTGCCATATTAAAAATGCAAAATTATATGGAAATAATGAGAATATACGATCATCACATATTTTAGCTAACATAACCCTATTGTTTCATTTTTAGAGTATGATACAAATCGTCAGTCAGAGCAAAGGTTACCAGAGTAATTTATATACTTTTATAATTGTTCTATATTACTTTGTGAATATAGAACAAAAAAATATTTATATTTCATATTAATAATTCCACTTTGTTGATGTTTTCACTTCTATCATGTGATCTGAAGCACACACCATAGTTTATAAAACAGAGAAAATCCCAACATTTAAATTTGTTGAGATTGGAAAATGAAATTTGAGTCACTAGAAACTTTTTTATATAATACAGAAATAGTAATCTAAAATGAATCTGAATTAAGGTATCAAAGATTATTGATGGACATTCTAAAAGGAGAGAGAAACGCTTTATTTTCATATAAAAGCTTGCTGCCCAATTATATGAAGTCCAATTATATCTAGATACACAGTATACTGGTTAATCCTTTGGAAAATCAATAAAATTTATATATAAATATACAGAACTAGTTGAATATATGAGTATAATAAATTAACTTAAGTATAAACTAAATCAATCTGTCCTCTTTTTCTTTTTATCTTGTATGTCATGTCAAGATAAAGCTTTTTCATTAAAAAATTATTCAGCATTTTTATTATAAATTTTTCTTCAATAAATTAATGTTTTATTAATGTATGTATATAAGTCATAAAAATATTGTAAACATGATAGCTATAATTTAAAACTAGTTTAAATATGGAAATGAAAGAAAAAAGAATTACTTGGTCTGTGTGGCCGAGAACAATAAAGTCTGTCTTTGAGATGGCAGGTTCTCTACGATGGAGTTCATAGCCTTCTCGAAACCCAAATCAAGACACCTATCTGCTTCATCTAGGACCAGCACCTGCAATAAAATTCCTTAAATCTGTTTCTTTTACTTTTAAATAATCACAAGTTTGTGTTCCGGTGCTCGAGGAACTTTTAACTCTGGCTTAATCCATGTCTCAGGAAAAAACTCATCTAGGTAAGAAGGTGGGGAAGGTAAGGACACACACACATACACACAAAAAAATCTAGGTCATTTATCATGATATAATAGACATAATTCACAATCACTATACCAGGTAAGTAAATATGAAACCAGAATTTTTCTATAAATGGCACTAGTAGTTAATTTTGGTTACTATAAACAATCATTATTGGCACCATTTTGTCTCCTCGACAGCCAGCAAAGATTTTCAACTTACAACATTACAAGTTTCATATAACAACAACATTTTAATAGTTCTAAACATGTCAAGTTTTGTGCATACAAATTATCATTTGTGGATAGCATTAGTTTTCGGTAATCATTTAAATAAAGCTGCAGCAAAATAGCATCCAATGCTTATCAAAGTTTATGGTGAGCATGCCCTTGGTAAATCACATTGCTTTGAATAGTTTAAAAAATTCAAAACTGACGAATTCGTTATGAGGAATAAAAAAATAATTTTGTCATGGAACATATGGGTAATCTATTATGAGCTGCTAAAATCTGACAAAACTGTTAATATTGGATGCTTTCAACAACAAATGATCGATTTGAATGAAATATTGCTTGAAAATTATCGGAATATAAAAAAACACAACACAAAGTGATTTGATAATAATGAATCATAAAAATAGCAAAACCAGTGAAGAAAACGATCTAGGCGTTCAATTAGAAAATATTAGGGCATACGGATTACTCACCAGACTTGGCTCTGTCCAACCACAATTTATTTGCATTGATGGGGCAAGCACGTGCTTCCAAATCTTATGAAAATGGTTTGGTTCTCCAAATAAAGAGCAAAAGATTTTCTGGTATGACATTAATAAATTGCCAGAGAGCATAGCTAGCGATGGACAATATTTCGAATAAATATTTTTTTAACTTTTTTATGTAATAAACATGAATTTTCTGTAAGTAAATTCCGATTCCACATTTACATAGACAGTAAAAGTTAGCAGTACTAGTGCTAGGATGTGAGGCACTTATTAGCACATTATCACATTCCTGGTACTTTCTTCTGTTTGGTTCAAGTAGCTCTAAGTTACAGTACTACAGAACAATTTTTTTTTTTTAATCAAGTGACAGACAGCTTTTGCATAATTTGTTAAGATGAACAGTAATAAGTATTAATCACCTGCATGTTGACACAATTAAAAAGAGGGTTCTCATCCATGTGCTGGAGCAGTCGGCCTGGGGTACAAATAACAATGTTCATTTGGTGCATTCTATTCCTTTCAAACTTTAGGTCTTTCCCTCCTGAAACATTTTAGGCTTCAATAAATCACATCTATGACCTTAATAAAAAATATAATGCGTATAAAGTTATATCAGAAAAAATCTTGTACAAGAAGAAGACTAATAATGTACATTCAAGATTCAATATATAAGGTAGTTAAATAGCACAAGCCATGACTAATAAAAATTTATAATATGCTGACTATTACTTACCGATGATGAGTCCAGCAGAAAACTCATGATACTTTCCAACTTTAACGAGAGTTTCATAAATCTGAAGAGCCAGCTCCCGAGTTGGAGTAATAATAAGAGCTCCAACACCGTCGAGGCTTGACCATTTTTGGCGGAATAGTACCTCTAATACCTGAGTTTCATAAAAAAAATCAATAATGCAATAAAAATATTAAATAAATTTAATTGTTTTATAATAACGGACATCTTAAGCGGAAAAATTTCATTCCCCTTAGGTGTCTGCTATTGATAAAAGTTTCTTATAATATAAGTTTCTTATAAATTATAGGATAATAATTTTTAAATTGAATACTTTTAATTAATAAAATACTGTTACAAAAGTTGAACTTTGTTTACATCCTTGGGTATTATTCAGATAATCCTTAACTCTATCAGATTTTTTTTATATGTCAGGATAAAAATCTTAATTAGTTTGTATTTTTCTTTCGCTCAGTTATCATGGAGTGGAGTGATAAAGAAAACTGAATAGCTGTGATTGCCTTACACAAAGTTGGAAAATGTAGGTCACAGATTTTCAACACTTTAAAACATTTGGGTATCAGCCATATGTTCGTGTACCGCACTATAAATAGATATAATGAGATCCTATCTATATATGACAGACCTCGACCAGGCACTGTGAGAATGGCAAATGCAATGAGAGCAATGGCTGCTCAAATCAGAAGAAATCCCATTCGAAAACAACAAATCATGTCTCGGGAAATGGGAATCTCTCTCAGACCAATGTCTTGCATAGTAAAAAGTGACCTTAGGATGGGTGCATTTCGAAGAATGACAGGACAAAGGCTAATCTATTCCCTAAAAAAAATTAGAGTGGATAGATGCAAAATGCTCTTTGGCTGTTACACCAATGGTCTTCATCGAAAGATTTTGTTTAGCGATGAGAAAATTTTTACAATTGAAGATAAATTTAATTACTAAAATGATCATGTGTACGCACACAGCTTTAAAGAAGCCCAGCAAGTCATTGGAAGAGTGGAACGAGGTCATCACCATTCATCAGTGATGGTTTGTTGGGGAGTTTGCTTTGATGGCACTACAAAACTCCATTTTTGTGAAAAAAGAGTTAAACAAGTGGGTAAAAAATATCAGGACGATATTTTGGAACCTGTTGACAAGCCTCTAAATGATACTCTGTTTGCTGGAAGTCGTTGGATTTTTCAGCAGGATTCCGCTCCAGCTCACAAGGCCAGGTCAACTCAGCAGTGGCTGCATAAGAACATTCCAGAGTTCATCTCTGCCTCAGATTGGCCCTCAGGAAGCCTTGATCTCAACCCACTAGATTATCGGCTTTGGTCCGAACTGAAGAGGATGACATGCCACAGAGCACACCCTAACTTGGAAAATCTCAAACAGTCTCTGGTCCGTGCAGTTGAGCTCTTTCCTTAAAAAGTGCTTTTTTTACAATTTTAATAAATTAATTCACACTGTTTATTATAGTATCTAAATATCATGTAACTTTGACATCTTTATATCGTTCTGTATCTTTTTCATTTTAGTCCTAAAGAAGACCTGCAAAGTTGGGTCAAAACGTTGACTTGAAATAAAAATAGTAATTTCAATATTTCAGTCGTTTTATGACCGCCAACCCTGGACCATTTCCTCACTCAATAATTTTTAAAGGTCATACAGACTGCATGAGATGAGATCAATTTTTCTATTGGCCATGCATTAGCATAATTATTTTTGTTTGAAATGACCTATGGCAAATGTAAATACAAAAATAGAATTTAACCCATCATTGTTCATTGCATGAGAACTTCTTTCACATAAATTTTTGATCCTGTCTAGGAGTTCCTAGAGGCAGGAGGATATGCATCCAATCTTTCTGTAGTTTACAGTCTCTATTTATTTTAACCCTTCCACCACTTCCTTGCCTTCCTATAATCAGGCTCCAGCCTTTATTCTCTTGTTACGATCCCTGCTCATGATACATTCTCTCACACACGACTGATGATGCGATAAAAATATATGAATTAAAACTTTTTCTCACGTACAACAAGTAATAATAATCTATCAAAACGTTCCTTTCTTGAGGGAAAAGGTTAGCCAAACTTGGTAAATGTAAATTTGAAGAGGCTCCGCCTCTAGATTATTTCCACATGTATGCCTCTAGGCAAATAGCTACTGAAAACTTTGTCTGATGGAACAATTGATTTTTGAACTTTCCATAACTCTTTTGTCTTGTTTCTTGAATAAATTTTAGTTTTAATAATATGCATTAATAAAGATTAGGGGGAAAAAAATATCAATTCAACAAATATAAAAAATAAATTATGAATCTTTTATTTATAAAAAATACGTGGTTAAGACACAAAATAAGTGATGTGAGAAAAAGTCTCATGCGGGACCATCCATGGCAAGATTGAGCTAGCCACCAATGACGGGTTAAAAACTCTAGATAAACTAAGAATAGATTCTCTGTTAATAATAATAATTTATAAAGCAAAAATAATTGCTCAAAATTAATAACAATATAAAAATCTTACTGGAATCAAGAAAGCAAGAGTTTTTCCACTTCCAGTTTTTGCAGCACCAAGAACATCTTTTCCTCTGAGGGCTAGAATGATGCTTTCTTTTTGGATAATGGTTGGTACTGTGTAATTGTTTTCAGTAAGACCTTTTTGAGTTCTTCCAGAAAGAGGAATATCTGCGAAAGATTCGATCTCAGAAGGATCGACCTACATGACATAAAAATGAATATGTTATAAATTTTAAAAAGTTAAATACTGAAGTATTGTTATTTAAACCTAAAAAAGACATGTATATAATATATAATAATGTATAAACAGTCCAATATATTGTGTACATGAAAAAAAAAAAATTAGAACTGTGAGAATACATACAAATAAAAAGACTCGCTAATTCGGAATCAGCAACCATTATCTATTTATCAAGAAAGGAGCTCTATGAGGGAATGCTAGAATTAGTGATCCCAACCAAAACTAAACTATACAGTCAAAACTAATTCGTCTGGTCAACATGACAATGAAGGAGGTGAAGTGCTGTGTTTGAGTCAAAGGAGGTAAGTCTCAGCAATTCTACACTCATTAAGGACTCAGACAGGAGGACTGCTTGGCATTCCTACTTCTTAACTTAAGTAAGAAATGTGAAGTACGGTGATCCAAAATCTCAGTCGAAGGAACAGTGTTCAACAAATCCTCTATGATCTTAGGCTGTGCAGACGACGTTGATGTGATTGGGATGTTTTTCGGAGCGACGGGGGATGCCTTCCTAGACCTAAACCAGGAAACCGCAAGAATGGGACTCGCCATTTATGATACAAAGACAAAATTTCTGCTTGTGAAACCTATTGGTAGAGACCAGCGGGACAGCCAGGTGTATATTGGCCAGTATAGCTTTAAATGAGTTGAAGAATTCTTTATCTTGGAACCCATGTGAACTTCAGTTATGATATTAATCCTGAAATCCATCAGTGATAGGTTGCAAAGAGGTGTTATTACTGTCTTCAGACACACCTTAAAAGCAAAGATTAGCAAAGGACTACCAAGATGCATTTGTATAAAACACTTATCAGATTATTGAACACTAAGCTATGGATCAGAATGCTGGACTTTCCCAAAAACTCATGAGCAGGCTCTTGCAAGATTCGAAGACCGGATTTTCCATAGAATCTACAGAACGGTCTATAGCTATGATGGTTGGAGACAACAGAGCATCAGTTAAGAAGAAGAATAGAATATATAGGCCACTACTCAGTATTTTATTTTAGAAGTTTTTATAGTTGGAACCCTAAAATTCCTAAAAGGAGTTAGCCTTCAAATATCAGGTCTAGCCAATAGACATAATATTTGATAGCAACATGTAACAAAGGAAACACTCTGGGGGCTTCAATGTAGAACTTATCCTGTGAGAAATATTGGTCCAATAAAAATTTCTTTGTCTTATATTGAAATACCTCCTTATCAAACTGATTTTACAACATATAACTTCTTGTTTTCCAAATTTTTGATGATACTTTAGGGGTAGATGGTTTTTGAGTGAGGTGAAGGCCATTAATGAAGATATCAGTACTATTCCATGAGTATTGCTCCACCATGATGGGTGGGCACAATCCTCACATTCATACAGTAGATAGATTCTGAAAATGGTAGAGCATATTCATAGGAAAACAAATGAGATCAAACAGTCTGGTATGACCCAGACTACAACTGAAAAGAATCCATTAGGTACCCCTTTTAAGCAAATGTAGCAAGCAGAAGTGGAAGCAGTATGGTTGTTAAAGCCAATTAAGGGCTTGATTTTAACTGAAAAAAGTGGGGTTGGGAGTTTGCAGAAGTTGAAAATCATTATCTAAATAAAGTGAGGTTATAGTCCTGACCACTTTGTCAATTCTTGAAGTACAAAGTATATCAAATGTAGTATTTTAAGGAGTAAAATATTGTATTACTTCATTAAATGTCAAACAAATTTTTGTATCAACTTTTCAGTCAAAATCTATTTTTTAAATAGAACTGTTAACTTTAGGTCAATAGAAATTACCAAGTCAAGACTGATCAATGGATTGCAAGAATTTTAACGTATTTGGGCTAAAACCAATCAGGGTCAAGTGTTCATAACAAAAATCAGGAGGAATTAAACAATAAATGTCCAGAATATCAGCTAACACCTTCCAAAACCCTATATCAACATTTATATATTTATTTGTATATATGAATAAATATATAAAAAGGAAGAAAGCAGTATAAATAGAAAAAAAATCTCTTACCTTATCATATTTGGAATAAAGATTTTCAATTTCTTGGGCTTCTTGTTCACGTTTTTTACCTTTGGCATGAAATGTTGCTTTGGATACATCATCTCCTTTTAACTTTTTGTATTTCATTTTAAACACAATTCAAACTAATTAAACGAAAATATATAATAATGACAACAAATGAGGATTTGACTCGAGAACACGTGAGGAAGGTATCAGCTTATGACAAGTTAATGTTATCCAACCAAAGAGATAGAGAATACTAATCATTAATTTCGTTCAGAGAAACAAACTTCGAAATATTTTTATTGAGTATTTAATAGATGACCGTTGCATTATAAAGGAAGGAGATGGTCCGGGATGGCTTTTAATAAAATAGTTTTGCCACTATTTAGCCTATTTATGACCGCCACCCCCGACCATCTCCTTCCTCTAAATATTTTTAACTTCATAAGTAAAAATTAAATTACTATGGAAACTAAGAATGTTAATTATTTTTGAAGGATGGAGAACTGGGAAACAATTTTAAAATGGTATTAATAATAATACAAAAATATTATTTCTCATTAATTTATAGTAACTAACACGTTTTCATTCATTCAAGAATATTAATTTTCTTGTATTATGGTCCCCAAAAAAAAAAAATGATGTGAATAATGATATAGTTTTTTATGTTTGGTGCAATTTCTTCAGTGAGATTATTTGCTTCGTTATTGTCTTCAACGCTACTTTTTTCATTATTTATAAGAAGTTCCTTGTGGAAACTGCATTTATTAAAATATTCATTCCATACAATCGAAATCAAAAGGTATTTAATATTACTCTGTACAAAATTTTCCATAGCTGCCTCTCAAAAGGTCTTGAAGCTCCAATCTCTGATCACTGCCGTATCACGAAAACTATGAAGTATATTCTTATGATTTTCCTAGCATTAAAAAAAAGACTACTAAGGAAAGTGCTGACTGGTCTGATACTCGCAATTCAGTTAGCATACCAAGTACCAAAAGGTATTCTAAGATTTAATGGCTTAGAGTCAAAGTGCTTCCTGATGGAGGGGAGATCGTTTGATTCCCTATTCTCTTCATGATTTATATCGAGGAAATAATAAAAATGTATAAGAGCAAGAGCACTGATTGGGGCCACGGATATCTTTTAACAATGACCGTATATAATGGAATGATACTGAGTATTTTTAGATAAGCGCAGCCTGTATGGTTCCAAGTTAACATAAATGATATACATACGTTGTTCAACGCAGGAGATAAAACAATTAAATATTTGAACTGTAATAAAATGGAGAAGCATATAACATTTTTTTACTAGAATGCTGTATTCAAGACTAATTAAATATCATTGCGAAAATAAAGAAAGTCGTTTTCTGTCCATTTAATTTTTTTCCGTTACTTTCTTTTCCACATCTATGCCACTACTTTGTTGATATTGATACATTCACTCGCTATGTTTTATTTTATTAATTTACGGAATTTTAACTTTGCAATTCTTTTTTATTTGGTCAGCATGTTTTGGTAGAACTTACGGCAAATTAATTTTTATATTTACAACTATTATTTTTTTATTTATAACTTCATATTCAGTTTTTCTATTTTACATTTTATTCTATGTCAATTTCGCTTTGTTTTAACATAGTAAGACATCAACTTTTAGCAACTACATCACCGCATTTATTTTGTCTAGCCCTTACTTTTTTATATCTTAATGTTCTCTTTATTTACATGTATTTATTAATTATTTTTTTTCTTTCTTTGCTAATTTCATTGTTATTATTCTTTATTTCATAAATTCCGGACGACCGGCTCAGGATTAAGTTAGGATGTATAAAGCTCAAAGATTGAAATTGTAACAGAGTATAGGTACTTCGGCATAATATTGACTTTCTTGCTCTCGCTTCAAAAACATTTTGAACAGAAAGTCTCAGCAGCGATGTTTGGTTTCCTTAGTACCTGGACCTCATACATGAGAAGAAAAGAAGTTCCAATATCGACAAAGAATCAAGTGTTTCATGCAGTCACAAAAGCTGTACTCTGTTTTGGAGCTCAGGTTTGCACATGATAAGTACGGTGGTGAAGGCGAGAACAAAAACGCTAAATCTGAATAGGAAATCCTGAAGCAGATGTACCCAGAAGGAGGTTTCATTGCGCAAGCTGCGTCATCAAAAATTTTGAGGGGTGTATATTTCGACAAATCTATGGATTTCGGGAGTGAACAATTTCAAAACAGAGAACTAGAATACAGAATACTAAATGGGACAGACCACAGCAAGTATAGTTGTATATGATCTATGAATTGTCTAATCTTACTTTCACTTGCACAGTTTTTAAGAAGAGGAGAGAAATACAATTTTTGCAGAGGGGGAATGGTTGGTTCATGCGTTATCGACCATGGGAGGGAGGGAGAGAGATGAGCACCCCTGCCTTGGAGCCTCGATGATAGTGCCAACTGTTCCTTGTGTAGCCTCAATTATTATTATAGTTTTTTTTATGTCTAGTATTATATGTGGCCGAGCGTACTCCAGCAGTTGCACAAGTATGAGGCTCCCAGCAAGTTATATCAGCTTTTAAGGAGCTACCTCCAAGACCGAAAATTGAAGATAAAAGGCAGCTTCTTTGAAGTAATAGAGTCGATGGAAAGAGGTTGTCCGCAGGGCTCGGTTCTTGGTCCAGTCCTGTGGAAATTAGTCTTCGATGAGTTGCTGGGAGTGCTAGAACAGGAGCGGTTCCCCGCCACGGCTTATGTAGACGATCTGGCCGTTGTAGTGGCCTCAAACAGCAGAGTCAGGTTAAAAGAAGACGCTTAACGGTGTGCCAACCTAGTAGGAGGATAGTGCGAGAAAAAGAAAATGAAGATGGCAGCTGCTAGGACCCAGTCCATTCTTTTAAGGGATAAGACTGACAGGACCCACCCTATTACTCTCAGAATAGAAGAAGAAAGGATACGTCCAAGTGAAGCTGTAACTTACCTTGGCATAAGAATTGGGAGAAATATCAACGTTACGCCTCACTTTGACTATATGAAAAGTAGAGTGGCCCTGGCTCTCAGGTACCCAGCCACGTTGACTATTTATAAAGGAGAATGGGCATCCTGAGATATGCGTCCCCTGCATGGAGTCATCATCTCTCGCACCAACAGAAGAAAAGTTTGGCAACAATCCAGCGGTTGGCGCTGCTGCGGGTCACTAGATCGTACCGGAAAGCCATGAGGCTGTACAAGTCTTAGCCGGAACTACTCCTATTGATCTCCAACGAGAAGAATATTTTCGGCATAAGATAAAGAGGGAAGGCCTGATGGATCAACCGGCAAATCTCCGTATAAGGATCAGTGAAGACCCTAATAGATTGAAGAGCGTTCTTCAGGAGAACACATTAAAAGAATGGAACCAGCGGTGGGTGACGACGCCAAAAGGGGCTATACTAAAAAAAATACTTCTCCACCGTTAGTGCAAGAATGGAACAGACATGGGTTCTCCTTAACTACTGGGTCTCACAGGGTATGGGGGTTTCCGAGCAAGCTCGTTGAATATGGTAAGAACATCACCTATGCCCAAGTTGCAGAGTGCCGGAAACCACCGAACATATCGTCCTTGTCTGTACCGCCTTTGAGGCACTGAGGGCCAGGTTGTTGAGGGAGACGGGGCTTTACTTTCTGACGGAGAGCCATCTTCCTCAACTAATGATATACGATAAATATCCGTAACTACAAGGTCTTCGTATATGGGTGGAAGGAACTCAATTTTCCTTCACCCACGAAAGAAGAGATAGACCTGCATTCGGAAGACTGCCAGAGAGGGTGGAAGAGGATGTTGGCTGAAAAGAAGAAAGAGCAACCTGTGTACTGCTGAAAAGAAAAAAAAGGTGTCCCACCCACCTTAATAATCGCAACTATACCAGGCTCGCTCTATAGGGTATAGGTTTATCCATTCCTATGTCTTCTCCATTGTCCGTTCTCACAGGTGGGCCCATAAATTTGGTGAAGGATTTTCTTCTCAAAAGCAAGCAGGTCCCGTTTATCTGGCTTTGCGGAAGTCTATGTCTCAGAACCAGAAGTCAAAACAGGGTGGATGAGGGTTTTGTAGAGGATGACTGGTGCGCTGCAAGCCGAGTCCATAATAACAACGATTAGCTGAGATAATTATTCTCTGCGCCTCCGTTGAGCTTCTGTTGCTGCATGTCACTTGTGCACCAAGATATGTAAATTCCGACAATTGTTCAAACATACAGGGACCAAATCCAAATTTGATGCCGATCTGTCGGGGGGCTGATCAGACACCATATACTTTGTTTTGTCTTGGTTGGCAACAACGCTTGGGATATAGCCTGATATGACCTGCCAACTATCATATCAGCATATCCTAGGAGCTTAACTGTTCTGTTAAACAGCAACCATTGCCTGAATTCCTGATTCTCTGGTAGATTTTTCTAGATGGACATTAAAGAGAAGGCATGCCAAAGCATCCTCTTCTTGCCTCACACCTCTTACTGTCGAGAAACCCCCCGAACGCTTTCTTTGGACTTGAGAAAAGTATTCGATGGCTGTCATCCTTATTTTTAACAGCCTAACATAAGTTTAGGAGGAACATTAAGTTCAATGAGAGCTTTGTACAGTTCATCCCGATCAATGTAATCATACGTGGACTTCAACAACGAGATGATGCATCTTGAATCCTTATTTTCTACCTTTTACCAAAATTCCAGGAAGACTGAAAATCTGGTCTGTTGTTGACTTTCCATGCATGAATCCACATTAGTAGAGTCCGATTTCTCGCTCGTCATATGGGAGGAGGGATATTCCCAGGAGGTTCTAAATCTCCTTCTAGTGGTATATTAGTAGTGTGTCTAATTCACAATCTCCATTTAACAGGCCTAGGAAGTAACTCTTTCATTCCACCAAAAGGGGATTCAGCATCGTAAGGACTCCATTGTTGTTTTGACACACAGAGATTTGTTTGACTTTGAAGGGTTTTGACTTCTGTTAGCTACCTGGTTTTAGAACCTAAACTTCTCCATTTCTGCTAGTTCAGCGTACTTGTGCTGCCTCTTCTTTTTAGGATGGAGACTTCTCTGTCTCTTATATTCTTCTGCAGTGCATCTTGTCTTTCTGTTGATCATCATCTGGTATGCCAAGTTCTTTGCATCTATGGAAGATTTACACTCATCAAACCACAGTGCTCAAGCTGTTCCTGTGATAGCAGAAGAGCATCCCATCCCTCATTCATATATTCCCTTATATGGCTCTCAATGAACTTCTGGTCTAGTGTCGACACATATCTTTGCTGGATATCTGGATCTTTTATTTTCTTCATATCATAGCGCTTCGCAATCTGTGCTCATCTACGTTGGGCA